CGGCTGGCTCAGGGCATGAGCTCACGGATAAAAACCTCAGCATGAGGGAGAGCCGGCAGTCAGCAGAGAGCCCAGCACTGGGGTGTCACATGGCCCGTGGTCCCCAAGACACCCCAAAGGTGTCCATCTCCCCTGGCAGAGGGGACAGTGCCCCGCACCCATCCCACCCCGGGATGGACACCTCAGAGTTCCTGTGGGATGCCCACAGGCTGCACAGAGCCTGCCGTGCCCCCAGCTCTGCTGTCCCCAGGCAGGTGACAATGGGAGCTCTGTACCCACGGCCCTGGCAGACGTGGGGGAGGCGGCCATGAGGGCCTGTGTTGGGCTCACAGCCCATTCCAGAGGGAGAGGCCCCACAGCTGTCCTGGGCCACTGTGGCTGGCGATGTCCCCTTCCGTGTGCACCCAGCCTGTGCCCAGGACTCCTTCACACACAGTCTTGTGGTGGAACAGAGCCCAGGGGAGCCCCATCCTCCCCCATCCCTCCCTGCCCCATCCTTCCCCATCCCTCCCTGCCCCCGTGTGCCTGGGTCTCAGCCAAGGTCTGGCTGGGTCAGGTTCAGTGAGAGCCCTGCTCTCCTGTGCACAGCCTGCTGCTCTGAAACTGCCCAGGATGTAGTGGCAGTTTCTCCCAGCAAAGCTGTACTGGAAATACTGATCCTCTGCTCATGCAGCATTGTCATTCCAGCTAGGTTCCCACTGGACTTCTTCCAGATAATCTATACAAATGTAAATATATGTATCTTGCAGTTGTTTCCAATTGCAAAGTCCACAAAATACAAATTAAAAGTAATTTCTCACCTTGCCTCTCCTCCCTTTTCCAGCAATCCAGGCAGTGCTGTGCCTGGAGGCTGGCACAGATCCCACATGCTCCCTAGGGCCCTGCTGGACTAAGTTGGCATCTGCAGTGCATTCCTGGGGCAGCAGGACCCAAAATCTTGTCCCTCTCCTTCCACTGCACCCCACAACCCTTTCCCTGTGTGCCATGCCCAGCCAGGGGCTGGCAGGGCAAGGAAGAGCTGCCTTCTCCACAGCCGAGCAGTGGGCACAGTGCCCAGCATCACCTCAGTGCTGCCATGTGTGCCTGTGCCTGTGCCCATGCCTGGCAGAGGGCCCATGGGCAGGGGGCTCTGGCTGTGGGCAGGGGGGTTTGGCTGTGGGCAGGGGGCTCTGGCTGTGGGCAGGGGGGTCTGGCTCTGCCCCAACGCTGCCCCTGCCATGGAGACACCCTGACACCCTCTCTGTGCCAGCAGGAGCCTGGACCGCCTGGACTCTGTCGAGATCCTCCTACCTCCGAAGTTCCCCACCTGGGAGGAAGAATACAACCAGATCTCTGACAGTGCCAACGAGTCCAGCTGCATCAACCAGGTGAGGTGCTGGAGTGCTGGCCCACGGTGCTGGCACAGGCAGTGAGGGAGGAGGCCAGCTCAGGGGGGAAGGAGCATCTTCTTCCCTCTTCAAAGCAAGGCACTGGCTGTGCTCCAGGAGCTGCACAGGCTGTTCCCTGGCAGCTTTACCACTGTCATGGCCAGCTCTTTAATCAGGATTCCTATTAGACCTCCTTCCTGCAGCTTTGCCTCCTCTCACACTGCTGGTGCAGCCAAAACCCCTCTGCCACAGATATGGTAACACAGAGGGTGCCCCACCGTGCTGGGGGAAGCTCATGGCTGCTCTAGGTGCAGGGTCTCACTGTGTCACTCCCCAGAACCATCTACAAGGCTGCTCAACCTTGCTGCAAGCCCCTCATGCCCACTGGGTTTGTCCAGAGCCAGGGCCAACCTCACCTGATGATGTCCAGCCTGGGACCCTGCAGGGTCACCAGGGACAGTCACCCTGCTCAGCTCAGAGCCTCACCCCTTGTGCAGCAGACTGGACCCAGGAACATGGAGCCCACAGCTGGGGAGGCTGTCCTGCCAGCCCACTGGGGATGTCTCTTTTGGATATTCATGGGCACCATGGCAAAGCCAAGGATGCCTGTGAGATGCTGGCAGAGGGTGGCAAACCCCTTGCCACAAGGTGAGCTCATGCCCCAACCACAACATTTGGGATGCAGTTGATGCAAAATGGGTCTGACTTCCCACTTGATGGATGCAGATCCCACTTTGGGATGCAGTTGATGCAAAATGGGTCTCACTTCCCACTTGATGGATGCAGATCCCACTTTGGGATGCAGTTGATGCAAAATGGGTCTCACTTCCCACTGACTTCCCTATGGTTGTGGGGTTGCTCTGGAACTCCCTGGGGCTGGGATTGCTCTGGAGCTGCCTCCCAGGCCAGAGATAACTGGTGCCAGGATGAGCAGAGGTTCTGTGTGTTCATCTCAGCCCTTGCACCGCAGGGCAGCAATGGCCCCACAGCTTTGCCCAGTGAGCCCTGTCACCCCAGGCCTCCATCCCACCTGTTCCTGTGTGTCTGCATGGGCAGCATCCCCACACTGCTCTGTGTGTGTGCAGGGGGCCAGAGCAGCAGGGTGGGCATCAGGAGCCCTGGGGGAGGGGGGACAAGGGCATGTCCTGCCTGTGTTCCCATCCAGGCCTGGGGGGCACTGAGCCCCTTGGCTGGAGTCTGCTGCTGCCCCAGAGCAGTCAGAGCCTTGGAGGGGAGCTGGGGGAGCAGGGGCATTGCTGGGCATTCCTGTTGCCTGTGGCCAGTCCTGACCCTTGTGCAGCAGCAGCAGCAGCCTGTGCTGGGTGTCTCGGTGCAAAGCGGGGTCAGCACCGCCCTGTCCTCGTCCTTTGCGTGTCAGTCCATGCTGAAGTCCCTGCAGGAGACCGTGGCTCTGTGCTCTGTCCATGTCCAGAGCTGCTTCCACGAGCTGAGTGCAGCAGCCCCACAGAGACATCAGGAGGGGCTTGGAGCTGAAGGGTCTGAGCAGCTGTGATGAGCCAGGAGCTGCCCAGGCAGCCAGCCCAGAGCCAGGCTGGTGGCACTGGGGTTGCTGGGGACACCCCAAATGCCACAGTGCCTGCTCACGTGGAGGGCTGCTGCCAACACAGGCACTCTACCACTGTCCCCTGAAAACCAGAGAGCTCAGCTGCAACTGGTCAGGATTGAGAGGCCTCCCACAGACACACAACAGACTCTGTGTGTCTGTTGATCCAGAATGGAGCTGGTTCATGGTCAGTGTATGCTGGTCTCACCCATCCCAGTGCCAGAGGAGTTCCTGCCCTGCCCTCACTCAGTGTGACCTCCACCACCTTCCTTGTGTGTCCAGCCAGACCCCAGTGTCTCACCACATGGAAACACCCCCAGCTCTGACAGACAAGTCCCCTCTGCTCGGTCCCACTCAGCTCCACCTCTGGCAGTCCGGAGATCACCAGGTGCATGTCTCAGCACCTCCTGTCACACCAAGGGGGACAGAGCTGGTGACCCCAACACTGCCAAGCCCCACCATGAGCTGTGCCCTGTGCAAGAGGGCCAGGCCCATTCCCAGAGCCAAGCCTCTTCCCTCAGGCACACTTTGAACCTAGATTCTCTCTGAGAGGGTCATCCAGGGTGGGTGGTGCCAGGCAGAGCCCCGAGGGTGGAGAGGAGGAGGAGGCAGCCGTGCCCCCGGGCAGTGCAGTGTCTGTCAGGGCTCTGTATGCTGAGTGTGTGCCGTGGCTTTGCTCTGCTGGGGAGGCAGAACAGCTTCTGTGTGGCATCTTCTGGCACAGGGGGACAGCAGTGAGGTGGCCAGGCCAGCCCTGCAGGCTGCAGGACAGCTCCCCCCACACAGAGCACTCGGGCTGCCCACGGCTCTGTGGGCTCTGAGGTATGGCCAGTGCTGGGGGCTACCCAGAGGTGCCCAGTGCCACCTTGTGCAGCTGCCCCTGTGTGCAGAGGGCTGTCCCAGCACGGTGTCCCCAGTGTCCCCTGTGGGTGCACACAGCAGGCTGAATGCTCAGCAGCTTCTCCCGTGGTTGAGGTGTCCTGTGGAGCTTTGCCGTGTCCGTGCCACTGTCTGAGGGGCGTGTGGCCTCGCTTGGCATCTTCTGAGCTCTGCAGTTTGTACTGAAGTGTCAGCAGCAGTGGGCCCAGGGACAGCCCCCTGCTCCCCTTGTGCTCAGTCACTGTGCAGTCACTGTCTGTGTGAGGGGCTCCCTGTTCTTGGCCTTTAACCTTCTCCAACTCTTTCTTCCAGATCTTTGGACCCCCCTCACTTATCCCTCAGATATTTACCCATGGAGAGCAGGTATTGTCCCACTGGTGTTTCTCTCATCCTTCCTCATGGAGCTTTCTGGGGCCAGCCTGGACACCCATGGCAGGGTGTGAGGTGGGCTCTGGGGTCAGCCCATGCCCAGGCCAGTGGCAGGAGGAGGAAAAGAGGAGGAGAAGGAGACAGCACTCCTTACCCAGGCACTGCAAGGCAGCTGGAGAGCTTGAGTCCTGGGCCCAGCAGGGGCTTAGGGACCCTCAGTTTTAAGGGGAAAGCAGATGAACTTCTTAAGCCAAACTTCGTGGAGCTCAGATGCCAGTGCTGGACAGAAACAATGTCCTTGTGTGCCAGGAGAAAGAAAGGGCCAGGAGAGATGGATGTGGGCAACAGGGCCAGTCTCAGCATCTCTCACCTGTATTTCAGACCAGTCTGCTCTGGGCTGGGCCTGGTTTGACCTGGCTGAGCCTCTCCCAAGACTGAGTTTCCCCAGCAGCTGCCAGGGGACAGCAAGGCAGGGCTGTGGGCAGGAGGGAGAAGGGGAGGGCAGTGGGAGAGCTGCCCCTGCCCTGCTCACCCCTGGCCACAGCCAAGCCCTCTCCTGGCCCTCACCAGGGATGGGGCTGGGGTGGATTCTGAGACCCACCCTAGGCAAGTGTGGGGGCTGTCCCCCAGCCCACAGCTCTCCCCTGCTGTCTTCCCACGTTGCCCCCCAAGGAGCAAGCGTGCCCTGGTGGGCTACACTGAGGCTGAGGTATCCCAGCTGTGCTGGGACAGGGCCCTGGTAGTTTGCACTGGGATTTTGGCCACACGAGCTCTCAGCAGCAGGACAGGGGGTGTTTCAGGCACTGTGCTGGTAAGTGTCCCCTGCTCCACAAGCTGGGACCCTCTCCCCTCCAAGGGAGGGGCCCTGTTCCCTCTCTCAGCAAGAGCCCAGCAGCACTGACCACTGACTGCTGGACCTGCTGTGAGCGGGACCTGCAGGAGCGGCCGGAGGGCGAGGAGCAGGACGGACGGACAGATGGACGGGAGGGGAGGGGAGGGGAAGGGAAGGGAAAGGAAGGGCGGCTGCAGGCGGGGGCTGACCGGGCTGCCGTGTCCCCGTGCAGGCACCCGAGCCGGAGCTGGGGGAGCAGTACGAGCCCGTCTGCGACTCCACCTACAGCGAGGCCGAGTCGGCGGCCGCGGAGGTGCTGGACCTGCCCCTGCCCAGCTATTTCCGATCCCGGAGCCACAGCTACCTCCGCGCCATCCAGGCGGGCTGCTCCCAGGAGGACGACACGGGCTCCGTGCGCTCCATCTCCCCGCCGCCCACGGGCAGCCTCAGCGGCAGCAGGACCCTGCCCACCAACAGCAGTGAGTGCCGCGCCGTGCGGGGACCGGGACACGGGCATGCGAGGCGCTGGGCTCGGGTGCCTGCATCCCCAGCCGTGGCTGAGCGTGACTTTTGGGCCGTGTTGGGGCTTGCTGTGTGCCCGAGAGGATGGGCAGCAGCTGGGTGTGGGTGCTGGAATGGCAGACGGGCTCTGGGTGCTGTGTCAAAGGAGGTGTGACCAGCAGGTCAAGGGAGGAGATTCCTCCTGCTCTGCTCTGCTCTCATGAGACCCCTCCTGCAGAGCTGACTCCAGCTCTGGGGCCCTCAACACAAGAAAGATGTGGAGCTGCTGGAGCAACTCCAAAGATACCATGGAGATGATGCTCCAAGGGCTGGAGCCCCTCTGGTCTGGAGATAGGCTGGGAGAGTTTGGAATGTTCAACCTGGAAAAGAGAAGGCCCCAGGAAGATCTCAGAGGTTAGGGAGGTGCTTGCACAGGGTGCCCAGAGCAGCTGTGGCTGCCCCATGGCTGGGAGTGTCTGAGGCTGGACCAGGCTGATCCAAGGTTGGACAGGGTGTGGATCACCCTGGTCTAGTGGAAGGTGTTCCTGCCCGGAACTGGGGTGGGACTGGATGAGCTTTAAGCTCCTTTCAACCCAAACCCTTCTGTGACTCTGTGGTGACACATAGAGAGAACACAACATCCCTGGCTTGCACTGAGTTTCAAGGCACCAACAAGCCTCCCCAAGCCCCAGAGCCCAGCATCCCTGTGCTGAGCCATGGCAGCATTTCCATGAGGCTCCAAGTCACTTGATGTGCATCACTTTGCATCATTTTCTCCAAGGCAGCCTGTGCCCTTCCCAGCTCTGGCCAGCCCCAGTGCTCAGATGGGGCTCAGGTGTAGCACGGGGTGTGAGGAGCTGAGGTCCCATCCTGGGGATAATTTTGGGAACTGGTTACCAAAGGTGATGCCTTGGTGTTCCTCAACATGGTGGTGCTTGTTCATGGTGCAAGGCAGATGGCAGAGCAGGCAGGAGCAATGCAGAACCTCCCTAGGGCTGTCTGTGGAGGCAGCACATCCCATCCCATGGGTCCCCAGCAGGATGGGGCCTCTCAGCACCAGCCCTGGCACCAAGGGGGGTTCAGAGCAGCCTCAGCTCATCTGCTGTGGGCAAAGCTGCCACAGCCCTGGGATAGGATGGGATGGGATGGGATGGGATGGGATGGGATGGGATGGGATGGGATGGGCTGTCACGGAAAGATAGCACATCCTGACTCTGGGTAGAGTGAGGACTGGGCTGCAGGCCTTCCTCCCCAGGGATATGGGCATGGAACATCTCCCTCCAGTGGTCTGAGCTGCAGAGCCATCCCAGTCAAGGTCCCCAGGATGAGGCAGGAACTGGAGGATATCCCTGGGAGGGATGGGCTGTTTGCTCAGCCCGGTCCCTCCTTCCTGCCACCCTCTCTGCTCTGCTGTGTCCCACTGCTCCCACCTGGCTGCCCCTGTCCCCCAGCCCTGTCCTTGCTCTCAGTGCTGCCACAGGTCCAGGCTGGCACTGGGCAGCAGCAGCAGGCACAGCACAGAGGGGGCTTCCAGAATGCCTGGGTGCTACCTCTCTCTGACATGACCCAACACAGTTCTGTTGGTTCCCAGAGCATCCTCCAGCTCTTCACATTGGCTGCTGGGCCTTGGGGAGGGTTTTGGTGGAGGATTGAGGAGCAGAGAGAAGCATCTGTGGTTGTGCATGCACAGGATGTGGGAGGCAGGAGACACATCTGGACAGCACTCACACCTCTAATCAGCCATCTGGGCTCAGTTCCCTTGCAAATCATGGAATTATTATGATTGGAAAAGCCCTTTAGGATCATTGAATCCAACTGTTAACCCAGTATTGCCAAGGCCACCACAAACCTATGTCCCCAAGAGCCACATCCACAAGTTTTTTGAACATTTCCAGAGATGTGTTCCATCACTGCCCTGGGCAGCTGTGCCAGTGCCTGAGCACCGTTTCCATGAAGAGCTTTCCCTAATACCCAACCTAAACCTCCCCTGGTGCATCTTGAGGCCATTTCCTCTCATCCTGCCTCTTGTTACTTGGGAGAGGAGCCTGATCCCCACGTGGCTGCACCCTCCTCTCAGGGAGTTGTAGAGAGTGAGGTCCCCCCTGAGCCTCCTTTATTGCAGGGTGAGCCCCTCAGCTTCCTCAGCTGCTCCTGGGGCTCCAGCCCCTTTCCCAGCTCTGTTTCCTTCCCTGGATACATTCCAGCCCCTCAATGTCTTTCTTGTCACAGGGGCCCACATGGACACAGCACATGAGGTGTCTCACCAGTGCCCAGCACAGGGGACAGTCACAGGGGACAGCCACCCCATGGCTGGTACAGGCCAGGTGTCATTGGCCTCTTGCCCACCTGGGCACGCCTGGCTCATGTTCAGCTGCTGCCAGCCAGTACCCCCAGGGCCTTTCCTGTGCACCCCTGAGGCTCTGAGTGGCTGGTGGTGTAGGAGAGGGGCCTCCAAGCAGCAGGTGGCAGCTTGGTGGCATCAGCCTGGGCACACGGGGAAGGGTGGTGGGTGCACTGTCACCTGCAGGTGCAATGGTCACTCATGGCCTCTGCTCCATGCAGGGCTCTGGGATGACACCATTAAGAGCCCTGAGCCAGACACATCCCAGGGACACCTTCCTTCATCCAGCATCTGTGCACCAGCCCAGAGCAATGGGCACCACCACGCTTTTGTCTGTGCAGGGACACATCCTAAAGCAGCCACAGCAGCAGTTCTGGGGCCAACACAGGCCTCTTGTTGCTTGAGGGCCGTGTGGGGGCTGCATGCTGAAGCAGGGGGATTTGGGCACCGCCTGAGGCAGGAGGAGGGGCAGCAAGCTGCACGGGGGTGTGTGGGGAGCACGGGGGAGAGCTGACAGCTGTCACACCCCTGCCACGCCGGTTCCTCCCACTAATGCCTGTGTCACCGGCACATTACAAGGCAATTAGCTCCCGTTTGACAGCCAGCGAGACAGATGATGAGCTGCCCTTGATCAGCCTTAAACAAAGCTTTGTGCCTCGCACAGCCGGAGACTCAAAAGCCCCAGTGGAACCCATTCCTCTAATTGCCAGGCGTGCAGTGACAGCCGCGCCCCTCCCAGCACCACAAAGGGCTCCCCAGCCCCGGCTCCTGCTTATTAGAGGCAGCTCTGGGAATTACTTGTTTAATAGACTGCTTGCAATGCAGAGCAGAGTATTTGATGTCCAGGGGAAACAGGAAAGCAGAGGTGAGCAAGCAAATACAGCAGGGAAAGCTCGCACCAAGCCAGTTCTACTCGAGCTCTTCCCAGTCCTCCTTGTGCCATCTGGTAACACCACCCTTGCTCAGAGCATCCTGCTCGGGTGTCCAGCTCCTTATCCTGTCTCCAGATCTCCTGCAGGGAGGCCAGGGCTGCACACACCTTGTGCCCTCCATGTGCCAGAACTTTTCCAAGCCCAGGCTGGGCAGGAGAGCACTGCCTGGTAGAGATACTCCCAAAGGTTGGGACAGAACAACTGCCCTCTGTCTCCCACCTGCTTCCTGTCTTCTTTTTATTGCTTTTGTTTCCCTGTTTGTGACTAAATTAGAGAGCTGGCTTCAGGGCCCATGGTTGTGCTGGGGGAAGGCACACAGTCCCCTGGCACTGATGCTCTTGCAGGGGCTGCAGGGCTGTGCTTAGGAGGAAGGACAAAGTGCCTGCCCCCTCCAAGGGCTGGCTCACTGTGGGATGAGTTTCCACGGCTCCTGGGAAAGTCGTGTATCTTCCTCCTCCTCCTCCTCCTCGGTGTGCCGTGATCCCGGGCTCTGTGTGGGCAGGCAGTTTCTGTTGCACTCCTCTTGGCTGTCATGGCCTTCTCTGCTGTGTGGGGAAGCAGCACGGTGGGAAGGCACAGGGAGCTCACACCAGGCCAGGAGCCATGGCCGGGCCGGGGCTGAAGCACCACTGCTGCCCCTCGCTAATCCCATCGGCCTGAGCTGACCCCACACAGCCTTTGGGAGGGACTGCTATCATTCCCTTCAGATTTTCTCCTTCTTTTTGACCTAGATTTCACGTTCCAGAAATAGCTTTCTCTGACATACAAGCAGGAAAGGGATTAGAGGGAGAGCGTGTGTGTGTGTGTATGTGTGTGTGCCAGGGAAAGATTTCTGTTGCGTGCTCCATCAGTGTTTGCAGAGGAAAAAAGGGCACGCACACACGTTCTGGGATGTATTCATGTGTCTGTGGGACAAAAAGAAATTCATGACAGCTGTTTCTGTCCACATTTGCCAATTCATTTTTCACCTCTGATCTGTCCCTTGTTATGATGGAAACTCCAGCACCGCCCCGTGCCCAGCCAGCGCTGCTTTTCCCCCGGAAGCCGTGCCCCGGCCACAGCCCTGCCCTCGGCTCCACCCCCGAGCCCAAACCATCCCTGCCTTTATGTGTCCTCTTGGTGCTGCCAGGTTTCAGCACTCCCACGGGCAGCACCGAGGGCTGTGAGCTCCCTGCCTGCTGCAGGCACATGGCTGGCACCCAGAACCAGCTGCAGTGGGTTTGAGCCCACAGAAATGCCCAGGTCCCCGGGAAGGGGCGGCTGCAGCCACGCTGTGGGTGCTGTGCTGGCACAGACAGGAGGTGAGCACGGCTCCAAGGTCCTGGCCCAGCCTGCCTTCTCCCAGCAGGGATCATCTACAAAGGAGTAGAAACAAAGGCAGCTGCCAGCATTTCCCTTTGCTGACATGGTCAGAAAGACAAGTCCTTCTTGTTGCTTGCTTTTATCAGCTTTGATAGCAGGAAAGGGAGTTGGTGCTGTCCTCGTGGGAGAGGAGAAGCCAAAGCACCAAGGGGTGCCTCAGCTCGCTCAGAGCTCTGGGAGGGCAGCACCAGGAGTCCGTGCCCAGTGCTGTGCTCTGCCCATGAGCAGAGCTGGCTGGAGGGCATTGTGTCAGGCACACAGACTCCTGAGGTCTCTCCTCAGGCCAAGGGGCCTGATGGCATCCCCACAAGCTGGCTGTCCTTGTGACCCAGGTGAGCACAGA